GACAGAAACGCGTCTGGGAAAACCATGTATTACAAACGCGTCTGGGAAAGAGATGTGTATAAGAGACAGATACTACTGTTTCGCGGGGTCCCTTGAATTTTCTTCCTTCTGCAGACGATTCCGATCCACTAGAAATAGATAGGCCTAGTTTTTCTCAATGATGGATGAATTACCCTTGTTATCGATGTTAATTAGTAATTGTAGAAGAAGATGATACATACACAAACATCGGGATGGTGTTAGTAATAGTATTACCAAGAGTCGACAGAAATGTCGGAAGCTAGGCCTAGTAGTAGTAGTACAGCAGTTGTTAAGGGTATTTTGATTGCTTCGAATGTTTATTGTGATGGTGAGTTCAACAGTCCATCTGTGACAGGGGTTCTCAACTAGGCCTAGGCTAGACCTATATCGCAGTAGGGGAAAAAATGTTTCATTGAATAAACACTGAATAAATTTTACACAACCTTGGCATTACCTTACAGACGCGTGTGAATGCTTTTTATCTCGGTAGGAATAACTCGGGAGATCGCTCGGTTACAATTTGTTACTTTTTGTTAAATTTAACTTCACGTGTGAATCGGGTACCTAGGGCCCCTGGAAGGTCTGACAAATTAGCATTTTGTGCACCTTATGAATGAATTTCGATTCTGTTTGGGTGTTGTTTAGGTATCTATAGTAACTGTTTATGTCATTTACATTTGAAGGCCTAAGATAACATTTAATTGTTCATAATTGATCCATTTCCAATTACTAATAATAATAATTTCCAACAAAGTTCGTACCACAGTTAAATCAACGACTTTAAGAGCTGGCAAATAATATGCAATGTATACTAGTAACATTTAGGAACGTTTTTACTGAATTAAGAGGTTATAAAAAATGGACTTTGACATTTGGAGGTCGAGTTGGGGTTTGGGGGAAGAGGTCACCGGACGCTTCGACAATTTGAGAGCCTTATAATAGGATTTCTGAAACCCATAATTTGTGAATATCCTATTTAATTTTATTAATTTGTGTTTTAGGGACCTGAAGAAATACCATACCGTTTTATGTCCTTTACATAATATATAGGCATATAGATGACATTGTTCATATGGATCAATTTGTAATTACCGTAGCTGATCATTCCAACAAATTTTATACCAAATCAAAGGTTGGAAGAGCTGGCAAATATAAAATGACTGCAAAATATAGGTTGCTTTAATTTTAGGTGATAGTAGGCTATGGGGTTTTAAGCAAACCGGCAGAATGTCACTATAATTTTTTTTTTTTTTTTTTTTTTTTTTTTTTAATAATTTGTTAAATCTGGGTTGTCTAGGGACTTATTTACGGGCTTTCCGTAAAACTCGAGAAGTCTATTATAGCACTTATTTATAATTAAGTGTGGTTTTTCCATTACGGAAGTTGTCTGGAGTTTAATGATAGCCAAGTATCATTGGTTGCTATGCGTTCATGTATGTGACGCCATCAAAATTATGTGACACCAATAAACTCCGCGTGATGCACAGCGGGATTCGAACACCCAGACCTCATTATTCGTTGTTGCGACATCCCAGAAATCCCAGGCCTATTCAGAAATTTATTGGATTTTAACGCGACAGTGGAAAAGCTGTTAATTTAAATTGTATTAAAAAGAACCAAGAGTTAAAATTAATCATTTCCAAGGCCTACAATAAATATTACACCTGGTTGGTAAAAACATTTTATTTTGATTAGCATTCCTTGACAATATTCAATTTCATTGTCAAGATTTTGACAATCTGTCATTATGGCGGGAATTCATCACTAATGTAATATCCATAGTCTGGCAATTTCCCCCGGCAATACCAAACAGCATACCAAACCACTGGACGCCATCTTCCAGACATCCAAAGGTTCATAGTTCATGATTCTTTATACCTCCTTGGTTCATGCAGGGAATAATGTTGTTCAATGGTTCCTCGTGGTAATAAGCCACTAGGCCAACTACAAAAAAGTCTTGTTTAGCATCACATCTCAACAAAATTTTAGGAGGGTCGGTTTTGTGTGTGTGTGTGTATGTGTTTTTTGTCTTTTTTTTTTCATCATCTATGGTATCAGTAATCCACGAATCGCCGTTCGATAATGCTACTTTAGCAGTGCCATGCCTTAGGCACAACTCAGATAGCACATAGGGGTGGCTCCAGTAAAGGGGTGGGTGTCGGGTACCAGCCCCTGTCCCCACTCCGTCGGGGAGAACGACCACAATGCGTCTTGGAGAAAAACAAAATAATATATGTGTTTTTTACATATTAGTAGACCCCAAAACTGATTAAATAAGCCTTTTGAAACCCCTAAATTATATTTTTTAGGGCTTCGCCCCTTGGAACACTTTCGAAAGATTTTGAGCGACGCCCGACCACGCCCACTTTATTTGGTCAGGGACATCGGCCCTCCCCGTCGGGGACTTCAGACCCCCGTCGGGCAAATCCTGGCGCCACCACTGGTTGTACACATACTGTACCCAATGAGCATGATCCTATTGTATATTTGTAATTAAATTAAATGATTAAAAATCATGAACAAATCAAAACAAAGAAATTGTTCCAAAACTTAGATATTTTCAATTTTATTGAAAAAATGTGTTAAGATAAATTATTTTCAATAGGCCTACAATAAATATTACACCTGGTTTGTAAAAGCCTTGTTTAATTCACTTACAACGTATTGATTTTTATTAGCATTTCTTAGACAATATTCATTTTTTTTATTAAGAAAAATTATCTCCCGGTATATTTTTTTGTTTATTTTGGGTCGTAAATTCATATGGGCTGGTAACGCTAAACAAGTGTATTTTTTGTTTTGGCCTAACAGCCACTCAAAAAGCAGTGAACACTGGTTAGAAGAATCAACCTCGGTTGTCTGTTTCCGCGTGTTCATAATCTCAAGATAGGATATCACTCGTTGGGCCCAAAGAAGACATTTTACGTACGTATATCTCCTTTCCGTCAAATAAAGGTTGGGTATTATGTATTAGTTCAACTATAGGGAGCAGAATGTCAACTGTTATATTTTGTTCTGCAGAAGTTATAGATGTTCTATCTGTATAAATTTGAGGTAAAAACTGAAAATTCCAGATCAATATAACATTTGAATCGCTTAATTTGTATATTTACGTAAGTTATTTTTTAGGTAAGATTGAAAATTCCAATTCAACATTTAAACTGCTTAATCTGTATAATTACGTAAGTTATTAATGAGTTTAAAAAAATGAAAATTCCAATTCATTATTTGAATTGCTTAATGTGTATATTTACTTTAATGTATTTATTTTTTTCTATCTTTTTGACTGATAGTACATTTAACAGATTTGAAATTATGATATTATAGTTTTGGATCGGCCCACCATAATACTAAATTTGAAATGTTATTTTTTCAGACCGCTCGTGAGGAAAATCAAAGTGAACAACAAAGTCTTAAGTGTCCATCCTACCTGCTAATCCTTCTACCACACTACGTAAGCTAGGCCTAGATCATGATACACACTAGCTACATAGTGACTCGATAAGAAGTCTTTGACAATTGCGTGCATGCGACATAAACACATTGCGACTCAGCTAATCCGCTGTATTCGTTTTTGTATTCATTTAAATGCCTGATTGGATTTGGCTTGTTATGCAAATGAATTTAATATCGTCGAAAGGTGAATTAAGGCTGTAGACCGTAATGTGTTGCACACAGTACGAAACACACCTGAAAATGGCGGCCAAACTTTTTTTTCGTCTCGTGTGCATTGTACAACTACTAGCGGTAGCACAATTTAGCCTTTTCGCCAGCGCTGAACACGATCATGACAAGGAACACATCGACGCGTTTCAGCTTTCAAATGGATTTCTCAACGAATTAGAAGTACAAACCAAAGAATATCCAGAAAATATCACAATTTCAGGGATATCGTTGTTAGTAGAGAATATTTTGAAACGAACAAACTGTTCAGGGCAGACTGGACTGAATGAGACAATATGTAAAGAGGTAAGATTATATGAAAATAGGCAAAAAGATTATGTATATTGTATTTAAGGTATATATA